TGCATAAATTTCAGTCTATCTCTCAGGATTGCGATGCATTGGAAATACAATTAGGGATGATGTTTACTAAATTTTTGGCGCAAAATGTTAATTGAATTGCGCTTTTACTATGGCTGAGAGGGTCTATGTCCCCCGGGGTACTGCCGGAACAGTACCCTGGGGGACATAGACCCTATGAGCTTTACTATGTGGAATAGTACTTTGTCTCTTGGCGGTCTGTCACACTGTTCACAGTTGGCCCTAGTGTTAGTATCAGGAGTGTCTAATATAGAGATATCTCCAGTGTTTCCCCTAGACAAAAGGTCTGTGAGGTGGTAAATTTTTTTGGGTGTGTGCGCGTTTTGAGGTCCTAGCAAAGCGAGCACATCAGGTGTTCGCCCAGCTAGGTGTGTCCGGGGCCATCCCCCTCCCCAGAATTTTTTTTATAAAATTGTGCAATTTGGTTCATTCCACGCTATTTTGGTGCATTATAAAGCACTGTTCTAGAACAGCGATTTTCGTCAGCGATGCAGTGTTTTGAACAAATTTCTGTGTGGTGGCTAAGAATTTGAGCGAGGCAGCCCGCCTTGCTCGTGTCAATGCCGGGTAAACAAGTTGTATATCTATTATATATCTATATATCTCTATATTTCCACTCCTGATAGTACTATATATACTCCTAATTTTAGGTATAACAAAACAATCATCGCCTGGATTTCATGGAACAATGAGTTTATGGTTCTTTGAACCCTGAAAATCAATGTCAGACTAGCTGTCAACCTCGAGCTCTGCATGGTCTCTGGCAACATGGATTTTCTACATGTCCCCCTCATAACAATGCAATAATAGAACGTTTTTCAACAATGAGCTAATATCCCATTAGAAATATAGCATTTCATACCTATATATATAGGGCACTGGCGTTCGCAACCTCCGCAAAATGCGATAAATAATTAACAATGGCAATTTTATTGCCGAATGATTTAACTGCTCAAAAATTATGATTGAATAATCAAACCGTCAAATTGCAGTGTCGTGTAAGTACTAACAAATTCTGTAACCAAGTCATATTTTAAACTTACCTTTTAATAAAACAACCTCGTTTTGTGTAGACTGAACTACATTATTTTATTTTTACTCGACTATTTTATTAAAAATGTCTTTGTACACCTCTTTTCCCATAACTGTCAACTGTTTATCCCTTGCTTAGCACATATATAATAATATATTAGTACTAGTAGTAATCAAATGCAAAGGAGGACTGGGGATAACTGAGAAAACTCTATTCACAATGTATTGCACTTTCATACAATCAGTGAGCTTACACTATGTGGTCAGTTTATATTGCCAAGTTATCCTAGTTTTGCCAATACACATAATGCAACCATTAAGCTTATGGCTTAATTCCCCTATAAAAAATTAAATACTAAATCTCACCTGATGTCTATAGTTGTAATAGCCATTTGAGCCAGCGACAATCAAAGCCCAATGCACTCCGACTTGTGATTCTTCAATGACATTCTCTCGAACAAAGCTATTTGTGATTGCAGCAAGTGCAACTGACAAAAGCATACACAGTACCAGCAGATGCCCTGTAGATACCATGTTTGCTCCTCGTTCCATATTCGCTGGCTTTAGATTAGCAGCAATGGCAGTCCTACCTACGTGTACACGTATATATATATATACATGTAAGAACCACGTGACAGGTCAATGAACCAAACCATACACAGTAGTGGGAATAGGTAGGCCAATGGGGTGAATCATGTAGCAGTATAAAGTACTTAATCTATTACCTCAGGTAGTATAAAGGCAATAGTACGTTAGAATGAGTCCATACCTACATGCACTGGCGCCCACAGATCTTAAGAAAGTAGAAGCACAGAAGGATAAAATCCTCAGTGATAATAAAAAGCAAGCGCCGTAGGCGCGCTGCATGCTAGGGGGGTCTGGGGGCATGCCCCCCCCCCAAATTTTTGAATGGTAGACGTCTGGAGATGCAATCTGGTGAGTCTTGCGAGAGAGATTTACGAACAAAATGTAGGAACAAAATTGTTTAACCTAAAATTTACTGGAAGCACTGTGCTTCCAGTACTTCTATCTGCGGGCGCCACTGGCCTTCCCCATGTCAGTTCTCACGTACTTATTATAGCTAACTGTCCGGTTTCTTACAGTCTTTTCTAGTTTCCTTCCTTTCTCTCCCCTCCTATGCATTACTAAATTAGGAATCTCCCACTGGTGTTTATCTTGGAGCGACTAGAACATTTACGCTAATTACTTTTTTGGCTCCCATCTTTACTCGCATCCAGTTGTTTCTTACTCTTCATTCTCGAAAAGCAGAAACTCTAGAAAAACAGTAACACATTACAAGAAAAGTGAGATAATGATTTCCTTTAGCTAAAGAGTGATGAACGCTTGTAACAAAAAGTTGCCAACAAAGGTAGTGATTCAATTCCTGAACATTTTTAAGGCTAGGCATATCAGATATGTTTCACATGGGTATGCAGATGATTAAAACGTGACGTCTAATGCTAACTATAGATGTAAGCACATTCTTTACTGTTTATCTAACTACTTTTCTACAACCTAACCAAGTCCTATACACCTCTACCCGTTACGCCACCTACCTCTCCCGTTTCTTCCCTAGCTGCGGTTACACTTTATAATATCAACTACTAGAAAATACTGATCTAAACGGGTACAATAGAATATGCAATTTTTTTTTCAAAAATATGTCAACTAGTCATATGTGCGGTACATAATACGGTGCTAAACGTACGATTATCTACAATCCAAAATGCATAACTAATAACAAACTCACATATATTACTGCGCCTATGCTAATAATACTTATTAAATAATTAGTGACTTAGCCAGTGAGCACTAGTTGAAATATTAGTTGTCACATGCATGATGTTCATACTCATGATTGTAGACGGTCAGGATTGGAAACGCTATCTCAACTGTAACTTAAACACATTCTAGGCTATTCTCTACAGGCTTTTGCATACGCACTGCAACAATCCGCACACGGCGTGTAAGATGACAGCTTATAATTGTATATTATAGGTAAACATATACGCTGTATAATTGAGCAAATTCGGGATCATCATGAACATATCTATACTCTGAACCTAGCAAGCACTCTATCAGTTGTGTTCCCAGTAATAATACCAACCAAATACTACGTTCAAGTCACGAGTTGCACGGTGCAACATAAGTCAACAGTATTTGTACTATATGATGGAGGCTACTTTGGAAATCAGTAAACAAAAGTAGATTCTGTCAAAGGTGGCAATTTTCGAAAATGCTGAAATGGCACCACTGCAGGAATACAGCTCACAGTAGTGATTGGATTTTCAGAGCGTAAATATATTCACGGTATCTTGAACATCTTACTGTGCATTTAATCACTAACCAGCAGATTCGGCTGAGATTCAGAAGTATTGTGTTTACGATCCTGTACGGCTCCAATTACTTCTGCTACACGCCAAGTAAACATTGAGTTTGCTTATTTATATCTATGGCATGCCCATCCACAGTTCTAAGCAGAACGGGAAATTTCACGCATGCTGAAATGTCTGAAAGCTGAAATCAAGGGCAGCAATTATCCTGGAGCAATCTATTTGGAATGTAAAAAAACTTATAAAGTCAGGCTGAAATACAATAGAGTTGACTTGATTGGATATTTAATTTATAATATGCGTGTACATATCCTATGCGTATTATATCATATAAATGCACATCGTATCCTAACGAAATAAGAGACAGCAGTCAGGCTTAGCATGGAGCATATATACTATGCCTACTTAGAATAGCAATCCATAAACCGCACACAACTTACTCTTGGTTTTACAACCAAATTCACATGCATTACTTAAAGTCCAATCTTGGTATTCTCTGGCCAGATGAAAAATCCCTGAGTATAATTTTAAACTATTCTACGTACAATTTCGAAATAATGATCATGCTTACTATTCAATTCTATGTTTTGTGCACGTAGCTGCCTCATAAACACAAACATGAGATAGAATGTAGTGCAACCAGTTCAATATCTGTCTATGAGTAGCCAGGTTAACAAACACCTATACGCATGCATAGACAGACTATATAAAACACAATGATCGCTAGACGAATATAAATATGGCGGTCATACACACTACACGGTCAATATATTATCATAACACATCGTAAAATGTATATATATATATATATCATTTAACAAATTTGCACAGATCTGAGATGTAGTGCACGAAAAAAACACACGATTGAAGGCGTTACTAATTAGCCAACAGATGAGGGCTACCATCTCTCACGAGCTCAACCCTTCTCCCACGCTCCCCCCTTCTCTCACGCTCAACCCTTCTCCCATGCTCCCCCTTCTCCCATGCTCCCTCCTTCTCCCACGCAGCCCCCTTCTCCCACGCTCCCTCCTTCTCCCACGCTCTCCCCTTCTCCCACGCTCCCCCCTTCTCCCACGCTCCCTCCTTCTCCCACGCTCCCCCTTCTCCCACGCTCGCCCCCACACGGGCCCGTTCTCCGAGCTCGCCCGCGCTTCTCTGCGCACTCCCTTCTCCCACCTCCCTTCTCGCCACGGCTCCCGCGCTCCTCTCCGCACGCTCCACGCCCTCGCTCCCACGCTCCCCCATCCGTCCCCGCTGCCCCTTCTCCCACGCTCACCCTCCCCCACGCTCACGACCCTTCTCCCACGCTCCTCCCTTCTCCCACGCTGCAACCCTTACTCCGACGCTCAGCCCCCTCCTCCCCGCTCACCTTCTCCCACTCCTCCCCCTTCTCCCAGCGCTTCAACGCTTCTCGCCACGCTCCTCCTTCTCCCACCCGCTCCGCCCCTCCCTTCTCCGAGCTGCCGAACCGCCCTCCTCCCACGCTGCGGGCCCCTCTCCCGACCGCTCCGCCCTCGCTCGCGCGAGGCGCCCCCCTTCTCCATGCTCCCTCCTTCTCCCAGCGCTCCCCCTCCTCCCCCGCTCCCCCTTTCCGCGACGCTCCCCCCTCCTCCCACGCTCCACCCTTCTCGCCCGCGCCCAGCGGCCCCCCGACGCGGCTCCCCCCGTCCCTCCCACGCAACCGCCCCCTTCTCCCACCGTCTACCGCTCTCCTCCCCACGCTCGGACCCCCTTCTTCCCACGCTCCTCCTTCTCCCACCGCGCTTCCTCCATAATCTCACCCACGCAAGCCCCCTTCTCCCGCGTCCGCGCCCTCCCTCCGGCGGCACTGCTCGCCCCTTCTCGCCACACTCCGCCCTTCTCCACCTCCGCCCTTCTCCACGCTCCCCGGCCCCTTCTCCACGCTCGCCTTCTCCCCCCTTTCTCCCACGCTCGCACCGTTCTTCCACGCTCCTCCTTCTCCCACTTTCCAACACGCACCCGGTTCCTCCCACGTCCTCCTTCTCCCATGCTCCCGCCTTTTCCCCCGCTCGCCCCGCTTCTCCCACGCTCCCCCTTCCCCACGCTCCCCCTTCTCCCCACGCTCGCGTTCCGCCCTTCTCCCACGCTCCACCCTTCTCCCAACACTCCGCCCGTTCTCCCACCGCTCCCTTCCTTCTCCCATGCTTGCCACCGCTCTCCACACTCAGCCCTTTCACCACGCTCCACCCTTCTCCCAGCGCTCCCCCCTTGCGGAGGCTCCACCCTCTCCCACGCTCCTCCTTCTCCCACACTCCCAACCCTTCTCCCACGATCCGGCCCCTCCTCCCACACCCTTCGTCACCACCCCCCATCTACGGGAGAAGCATGTGCACTTGAGTCGTTCGAAGGCAGCTTTCTCAAGGTCGTGCCCGGTCGGTCTGGTGGGCGACGTTGATCAGCTCATAGGCTCGCTGCCGAAGGTTCTTTCCGAACAGGTATGCGATGCCGTATTCGGTGACGATGTAGTGAGCGCTGGGGCGAGCCGCGCGTGCGTCCCCACTCGCCGGCACTGCGCATAAGTAAAATGAAACAGTATGGCATAATCTGTGACCGATGTTACGTTGAGGCGTGCAGCGGGCGCGTGTCGTCACCAACTCCCCGCACGCTGCGCACCGCCTAAAATAAAACAGGTATGGCATGAATGCCTGTTGACGATGTAGTGAGCGTGAGCAGCGTGGTCTCACCCCGGCCCCACAGCCCGCACCTGCGCACCCCGGTAAAATATAACAGGTATGGGCGACCTCTGTGAGGCGAAACAATGTAGCTGAGGCATAGGAGGCGCGTGTCGTCACCTGACGGCCCGCACCTGCGCACGGTAAACATACAAACGAGGTATGGTGTCTCGCTACGAATGTATGTGACGCGTGAGGCACCGTGTCCGTCACACCCAGCGCCCGCACCTGCGCACCGTAAAATATAAGGCAGGTATTGGCGCTCTGTGACGCAGTAGTGAGCATGAGCGGCGTGTCGTTCACACGCCGCCTGCGCACGGTAAAATAAAACAGGTATGGCAAATCTGGCTGACGATGTAGTGAGCGTGAGCGTGGTTCGTCCTCACCGCGTCCTGCGCAAGGTAATATATAACAGGTATGGTCGTACTCTGTGACGATGGTATGACGGAGACGTGTGTCGCGTCATCGCGCGCCGACCTGGCGCCAAAAAAAAGAAAGAAAGAAAAACGAGAAAATGTGGCTGGGGCATCGGCGCGGTGCGGCCCGGCAGCACGGGTAAAGATAAAACAGAGTATGGCATAATCTGTGACGATGTAGTGAGCGTGAGCGCGTGTCGTCACCACGCCCGCACCTGCGCGCGGTAAGATATAACAGGTATGGCATGAATTGTGACGATTAGTGACGCGTGGCGTGTGTCGTCATCAGCGCCCCTACGTATGCCACAGGTAAGATATAACAGGTATGGCGTATTCAATGACGATGCAGTGAGCGTGAGCGCGTGTCGTCATCAACGCCCCGTACTGCGGCGTAAAAGCCCTATAATACAGGTATGGCGTACTCTGTGACGATGTAGTGAGCGTGAGCGTGTGTGCGTCATCGCGCTACATAGTACCTGCCGCCGCGGTAAGATAAAGCATGGTATGGCGTACTCTGTGAACGATGCCTAAGTGGCGTGAGCGCGCAGTCGTCAACCACGCCGGGCACCTGCCGCAGGGTAAAATATAAGCTAGGTATGGCCAATAAAAATTCCTGTGGACGATGTATGAGTCGTGAGCGTCAGTGTCGTCGATCCGCCCAAGTACCTGCGCGCGGTAATAAATATAAAGGATGGCGGTACTCTGTGACTATGTAGTCGACGTGACGGCGTCGTCAAGCACGCCGCACCTGGCGCGCGGTAACGATGAATAACAGTAATGGCAATAACCTGTGACGAGGTATGTGAGCGTGAGCCGTGCGTGCGTCACCGAGACGGCCTGCACCTGCGCGCGGTAAGATATAACAGGTATGGCATAACCTGTGACGAGGTAGTGAGCGTGAGCGCGCGTCGTCACCACGCCTGCACCTGCGCGCGGTAAGATATAACAGGTATGGGCATACATCTGTGACGAGGTAGTGGAGCGTTGAGCGCGTGTCCGTCACCGCGCGACGCCCTGGACCTGCGCGCGTCAAGATATAACAGTAGGCATAATGTGACGATGTAGTGAGCGTGACGCGGTCGTCACCCGAACGGCCTGCACCTGCGCGCGGTATAGATATAACCAAGGTATGGCAATAATTCTGTGACGATGTAGTGGAGCGTGAGCACGGATCGTCCCACCACGCTGCACGCTGCGCGCTGGGTAAGATAAGATGGGTTGGCGTGACCGATCACAGCGCCATCTGTCAGGAATTTTAGGAGGGTTGAAATGAACTAGAACTTCCGTTGGCCTTGAGAAGTAGATCGACTGCTAGAAGCGAGACAATAACTACGTATTTTTCCTCGTGGATTTTTTATCATTTAATGACTCAGTATTTTGCAGTTATGCTGTTTAACCTTGCTAAATGTACTTCTCTAGTGTGAGATTTCATGCCAAGCTGTGGCTATAAACAGTTGTTATGCATCTTGCTAACAATTTTACCCAGAAAACCTAAAACTTCTATGAAAAAATAGATTTTGGGTGTGACTCTACTGGAGGAAGAGTAGTAATTATTTCTTTTTGTGACCCATCCCCCTAGTCTCCACTAACCACGAGCATGCAGTACAGTAGTACCAGTACTGGGAACTAGATTAGGACCTGATGACTAATCACAGTCAAACCTGTATATAAGGATCATCAAGGAAAACTCTGAGTGTAATTCATCGACAGGTGTGCATTCCATGCATAGACGTGGTTTCCAAGCATAAACACCACTGGAGGAAAACCTCAAAGTTGTCCTTGAGAGTCAAGTGTTTATTCATGGTTCCCACAAGTGTGATTTTTTTTCAAGGACTTTTCAAGGACATCTCAAGGACATATGTTGTTCCTAATGTTTGTTAATGAAATAACATTCTATACAAGTATCCGCTAACACAGGTTAGACTGTACTCAAATCACGTTAAGTGAATTCTAAAATGGAACACAATAGCACCTACCGAGTCTAATAGTTGGCACGATCTTGGGTGTACCATCCTTGGTGCGTGCTGGCATGGCAATGATCGGCTTGCCAAGGCCATCCAGTCCCAGGGCGGCACCACGTATGAAGTCAATCTGACCGCCAACTCCTGAAAATATACAAATAAGTGCAACTGTAAAATACAGACAGTGCAGTTATGGATGAGCGTCAAGATGTACCTTGAATGTTCGAGGCAGGTGAAGATTCTAACAAGTTGCATCCGATCTCATCCTACATTTACTCCGTTGCGCATAGTTAAGAACTCATTTATTGCATTTTCTATGCAACTTAATCATTTAAATTAATAAATCTTCGTAATTATTGGAACGTTGCATCTTTTTAAACATTAGATTGCACTTTCAAGGGTCAGCGACCAATGCAGTATTAAATGTGTAAGCAATATGTGCATGGATGTTTAACTCACTTGAGTTTGTGACTTAAGTTAAGTAGTAGTAAGTAGTAGTAAGTAGTAAGTAGTAAGTAGTAAGTTAAGTAGTAGTAAGTAAGACTGACTTGAGTTGCAAAGTGTGATTAAATCAGTTGTTAGTTGTGCTAAACAAAAAGTAAATGACTATCACTACCACCTTGAACGTATCTATATGCATAACATAACGTGTATAGATATTTTCATGCTCTTACTAAAGTGCTAACCTGAATACATCTTCATTCCGATAGAGTCAGCAACAACCTGGCCTGTCAGATCGACTTCTATTGCGGAATTGATGGCCGTCACCTTGGGATTCTGGCAGATGTTTGTAACACTATTGCAAAAGCCCACATCATGCATCACTGAAATAAAAAGTAGATCGGAATAAAGACAGGCATGCTTAGGCATGCAGACAAACTGACGGCATCTACACGTATCACTGGGAGCTTAGTCAGTCAAGACTATAAAACAATTGATAACAAAGCACATTATACCAAAACAATGAAAATTTCACCTATACTGATCATCTAAGTGACAATTTCTTTATATTTCTGTGTAACTAACCTATCTGTTTCAGCCAGAAAACCCCCCTCCTCTTGGATACTGTTGCTTGGTTAGTCTAGCTAGACCAGTTTATAAGTGTTTTTCAAGTGTGTCTGCAAAAATGTCAAGTTTGTCCCACTTCACGGCTAAGGAATGCAATTTGAACATCCTATTGCAATAATGATTAGCAAGAGTGGCCGGTCCACCACATCCAGCAGACAGGTCAATTCAACTGTTCATCCAATTGGTAATTTTATCAGTAAGAAATGTTCTCAGGAGGAAACATCCCTGAGAAGATATGTTATCACGAGGAAAGGGGTTCTCGAGAGAAAACTTTCTCAGGAGGGAATATTATTGGAACGAATGATATCAGGAGGGAATATTCTTGGAAGGGAATGCTTCCAGGAGGAAATGTACCTGGGATGGAATGTACCTGGGAGGGAATGTTATCAAGAGGGAATGTACTTGGGATGGAATGCTCTCAACAGGGAATGCCCTCGAAAAAGGAGAAAGAAACCAGAAGGAAACGTTCTCACTCACGAATGAAGGGGTTGCTATTGAGGAGGGAATATTCTTGGAATGTAATGTTATCGGAATGTAATGTTCTCTGAAGGGAATGTTCTTTAGGAAGATGCCTCTGGAAAAGAATGTCCATGACAGGAAACACAATTGGCAGGACATGCTATCGGAAGGGAATGTTTTTGAGAAGGAATACTCCTGACACGGAATGCTCTCGAAACAGGAAAGGAACTCAAGGATAACCGTTCTCACGCACCGACGAAGGGGTTGTTGTCCAAGAAGTCGTAGACCTTCTTGCTCCCGATGACGAAGCTGACAACGATCTTGCCCGTCGAAATTGTCTTGCGCGCGTTCGTGATGCAGCCGAGCTCGACCAGGTCGACGACCTTGTCGCCGAACATCTCCGTGTGGATGCCGAGGTCGCGATGATGCTGCAGCTGCTCGCAGACGGCCTGCGGGATCGTGCCAATGCCTGCGGGAAGGGGGGAGGACGGCGGCCATTACGCGACGAGCAATGGTGGCGGCCATTAGGCAAACAATGGTCGACGTCGTTCGCGGCAACGTACGCACGTTGTCGCAAACGATGCTGACAACGGGAAGGGGCGGACGGCGGCCATTAGGCGAACAATGATCGACGTCGTTCGCGGCGATATACGCGTGTTAACGATGCCAGAGCGCGTCGTTACAAACATCTTTGTACACTAATGTTAAGACAAATGTTAAAACTAATGTTAAGACTAATGTTAAGGCTAATGGTAAGACTAATGTTAAGACTAATGCTACCATAAACCGACCAGGCTCTCCGACTGTTACACGTCGTAGGTTCCCCTCTCGCCAATGTAGTGTCACGCGAAAAGGGAACTTGTGGCTAATGCTACCACTAATGTTAAGACTAATGGTAAGACTAGTGTTAAGACTAATGCTACCACTAATGTTAAGACTAATGTTAAGACTAATATGTTACCACTAATGTTACCATTAATGTTCAGACTAATCTTGTTTCTGACAAGAGGCCCCAAGATGAGAAAAAGTTCATGTTTAGACTAATGTTCAGACTAATCTTGTTTCTGACAATGGGCCCCCTGGTGGGTGGTGGGTGCGGAATCATCGATTGAGGGACGCTTATTGCAAAAGCGTATTATTACCCATCTGCAAGGTGGCGCCATCTGACACGAGATTTCCGGCAATGTGCATGCCGATCCTTTTCTCGATGTCCGAGGATTCGCTGAACTCTCTTGAAGGGAGGTCCATGTCACCTTCCACCATCGTGTCGATGTGAGACATGTGTATGATGCTGTCACCGAACGTGCGAGGTACCTTCGGGTTTATCAGCCCTAAGAAACGCGCAGGCGGTTAATGAACTTGTTTTTAGAATGTTCCGTCGCAACAACGATCGGCTAGAGCCACGTGTCAATCGTGTCGGGCGGACCCGTAAATAAATTGTCAAATGACACAGGCCAATTAACAAAATGGCAAAAAGATAAATGACATAAAGGCAATGACAGGTCAAATGACAAAATGGCAAAAAGGCAAATGACATAAAGGCAATGACAGGTCAAATGACAAAGGCGAACACACCCACGCGGACCTACACAAACTGTCAGGGGTAGGGGTAGGGTCGTGTAGAGTGTAGAGTAGGGGCCATACTAGGGCAAATGACAAAATGATAAAAAAGACAAATGACAAAAAGGCAATGACAGGTCAAATGACAAAGGAATGAAAAACACGCCCACGTGGGCCTACACAAACTGCACCTCGTGAGCGCGCATCGTCACGCGCTCGCTCGCTGCGTTCACGTACCGATGATGTACTTGGCATTGATAATGGCCGCCCTCGTGCACTCCACGGCGGCGCCGAGCGTGCAGAAGCCATGCTCGTCAGGGGGCGACACCTGCACGAGCGCGACGTCGAGGTTGACGATGCCGCGTCGGAACAGCAGCGGAATCTCGGACAGGAATATCGGAACGAAGTCGGCGCGGCCTTCGTTCACGGCGGCCCGCGTGTTCTTGTCGAGGAACAGAGCGTTTGTGCGAAATATACCTACGGGCAGGCGTAACAACAGAAGGAGTTAGCAAGTGCATCACTATACTTCATCACCTGAGGGAGTGGTCACCAATTACTAGGCATAATATATCTCACAATATATCAGTAAACTATATATATTAAGTTTGTGAAATGTTGAATATTATCGTTCCATTCGATAATTAATATCACGAATAACATGAACATGTGTAAGTATTTATGCGCATATATACGTAAAATATCTCATGATATATTACTGAACTATGTATTTAATTTGTAAAATATTGAATATTATCGTTCCACTCGATAATTAATTATATCGCTAATGACATGAACATATCTATAGATGTGCATCTCTAGATGTTTTCACGCTAATATCTAGTTTTTCTTTGGACTTCACATTAGATCAACTATAAGCATTTGGCAACTCTAGCGAACGAGAAGGATAGACAAATTGTCCACGGGAATTCTGTGTACGACCCCACACAAGGAGGAAAAATGGGGGCCAAAAGACTGGATCTTGACCGTGTGGCTCTCTCTCTCTACCTTCAAACTCGGGCTTGATGATTTCCATCGGCCCCTCCGTGAGGATGTGAATAACCTCGACATTCTTGAGCCCGGTCTGTCGGCCATGCTCCGCCATCGCGTCGATGAGGGGGGTCGGCGTCATCGTGGAACCGTGAATCCACACCTTGTCATCTGGAAGATAGCGAGATAACCAAGATAACTTACGACGCTTGCAGCATCCTGCGACTTTATAGATTTAAGGACTATTTGACTTTCGCCGCCGTCGGCGCTGTGTAGCGATGTGAATTGGTGGGAATTTTGAAAACGGTCGTCAACTGCACTCAACCGATTGCTGATCAATTAGAATCAATTCATCAGGGTAATCATGAATACTACACATAAGACAATTCTAATACTAGATAACTTGAGAATCATCTTATCTGTGTTTGGTAACACAAATACAGCCAGTGCACGTACCATTTCACTTCTCAACGCTATAAAGGGACATAATAATGAGACACGTTTGAAAAAATTGTGTCGCCAATACATTTCTAATATTTCATAAATATATTATGATTCTTTCTTCCAATATAGCTGCTCTTTTGTAAATTGGCGACTTTTTCGATGATCGATATTAAAACCGTTTTTATAATTAGTCGCTACCAACAATCAATTAAATATGGAATCAAAGTTATTAGTAACTATTACGACCATGATGACCATGGCAGAGAGTGAGAGAGGAGAAGGGGAGGGAGGGAGGGATAGAGAGCAAACCCTACACAGGGTGGCACACTCCCACATAGAAACGGAGTAGTTAGGTTTGGTCAGCTCAGGTGACAAGTACTGTAAGTTGTAACCCACCAAGCAGGGCTGCAGCTGAGCACATGGATATGAGCACATGGATATGTGCACATTTAGCTTACAACTATAAATAACTGCAGGCACGAAAGCAAGTGTGAGGGGCATGCATGTAGCCAGATTGAGCTTGGAGATGAAAGACCTAATGATAGCTAACAGAGATCATGATATCCTCAAGAATCGAGCATGCCCTTGTACAAGGATTTTTTTTACTTGTTTGCATTTATCTTTTAAATTTATTCCATAGATCTATGAATCCAATCTCTTCAGCAATAGGCTATTTAAAAATGGTTTTCACTGCTGTTATTTGAAGAAGTCCACACGTTAGTCCATCTAATTGGTGTCATTTGATTTTATCTCAGTTCTCAGTATAAAATTAGTGCATTTCTCTTTACTTGGTAAATAACTCTTTTTTCTCATCAAGATTTTTTATTGAAAGCCATTTTCTTATTTGACATCCCTATAGACAAACTTAAATATTACAGATAGATTTGTTGGAATGTTGTTTAGAAATGGCATCATCAGAGTAAAATCTCCAAAACCATTTTTAGAAGGGAATCAAGAGCCATACCATCAAAACTGATAGTAAGAGTGGATTTTCTAGTAATGCTGCCGATTCACACATCAGACTTGGTCACTATATCCCATATTGACCCTGTTACTCAGCAAGGACAGTGACCGGATATTGTTTACACTGTTCGACCCTAAAATATATTTATAAATATAAGCATGGTTATGATACAGTGCACAGAGAGAATACATGTGCGCATTCCATCTCTGTTGTTATTATTATTCTTAGCCAAGCTGATTCACTGTTGAACATCTGGAACTAGGTGTTTCAATACTACAATCTCGTCATGCCCTT